CCTTCCCGCCTCGCCAAACCACGCCGCCTCTCGCAGCTCCACGAACTGAAAGTTGCTTCTTCGCTCAGCCCACCCCGGCTCAGGCAGCCAAGTGAGGTAATAATTCTAGATCCCAAGAGCATCTAGAAAGCCCTTGGGGAGTACGAAGAGTGCAGTGTCTTTGGAAGTCAGCTTTGAGAAAGTCATCTGACCTCCCTGGACTTCAGGAGGCGCCTCTAACACACCTGTCATCCACGGCCACAAATGTCTCAGGTAGGACACTTAGCACCAGGGATGCAACAGGGAACAAAGTCTATCGATCACCCTCATGGAGTTTGCATGGGGTGGGTGTGGGTGCAACCTCTTTATACAAGTGAACAAAGAACATAATGTCGGCTCGTTGTGAGCATTATGGAGAGTGATTATAAGGAAGAAAGGGGGCCAGGGATTGTCTCCAAGACCACTCTGAACTAGAAGATGAAGGATAAAAGCGATTCCATTGCCTACAGGGGCAGCAAATGCACCGTGGTTCTGAAGCTGGAATGGAGGAGACTAGGATGGTTGAGTGGTGACCTAGGGGAAAGTGGGCTAGGCCAGAGGGCCAACGGGAGCTAAATCACCCAGAACCGTGTGGGCCAATGTGAGGAGCTTCAGTTTTGTTGTAAGGACAAAAATAAGCCATTGAGAGGTTTTAAGAGAGTCTGTGACAGTGGTGAAAGACCACCTTGGCAGTTGTGTGAAGAATGGCAGCAGAGAGACCAGTTCAAAAGTGTCTTAGTTTGCTCAGGCTGCCATAATAAAATACCACAGATGGTGTGGCTTAAACAATAGACATTTATTTTCTCACACTTTTGATGCCTGGAAGTCCAAGATCATGGTGCCAGTATTGTTAGTTTCTGGTGAGGGACATAATTCAGTCCATAGCAGGAGGCTATTCCAGAAGTCCAGTCCATGATGGTGACTTAGACCAAGGTGGTGACAGCAGGGATGGGGAAAGTGAACCTATTGAAATATATTTTGAGAGTATCATGAAAGGTCTTGATGATGGATTCAATTTAGGGGATGAATGAAGAATGACTCTTAGGTGTTTAGCTTGAGCCACCCATAGGATAATGATTCTATGACCAATATGGGGAAGACTAAGGAGGAACAGGTTAGAGGCAGAGGGAAATTAAAGGCTCCATTGTAGACAACTGAGAGGCCTATTAGACATCCTACAACAACAGCACTAGGCTCTCTTCAAATTGTTTTACATATATTAAACTATTTGTCTTATAATTCTCATAATAACCTTATGATGAAAATGTACTCTCACTATCTCCATATTTCAGATGCAGAAATGAAGGCACTGAAAGGTTAAGCAGCTTGTCTAAGGTAGGTTTTGCTTTGCAACCTGGGGAGTCTCCTGGAGGGTAATTCAAAACTGGCCTCCATACGCGGAGGGCAAGGAGAGACAGAAGAGAGGGGTATACCACTCCAGGTTGTAGGTGGCAGGTGTAATAAGCATAGGAATTTACATATGAGGCTTGTCTTGGGCAACCTCAAGACAGTAGATACTCCACACCCACCCGCCAGAATCTTAACAGTTTATATAGAAGCCTTAACTGGGTTCAGTCACACACAGTCAGTCCAGATGGTCTCAACAACACATTACTCTCTGGATGTTGTGTCTTTGAAACAGCTCTGTCTGTGGAAACAGTGGGTGAAAGGTACATTCCAAGGACAAGAGAGGGAGGGAGGAGCCTCTGGTTGCCTGGGTCCAGGTTTCAGGTCAACCAGCGGTCATGTCCTCTTGATGACCTCCTCCAACAGTGGGTGTCTGGATACACAAGTCTAGAGCACAGGGCAAAAGTCTGGGGCCAGAGCTATGCATTGGGGGGTACCCTGACCTGGGACTGTAAAAATCACCAAGAAAAAGAAAGCACCTAGTGTGCAAAGGGAGGAGAGAAAGGACTGAGCCCTTGGAAGTTTCTTTTCCAGCATCTCCACTTACTGCCTGACCCTTAGTAAGTGATCACAGTCAATAAGAGGGAATGACCCAAGTTCAGTAACTAAGAGGGAAGAAGACTAGCTCAGGGATCCCAAACTCTAACCCTGTCAGGGGCAGGCAGTGATGTAACAAATGAGGCTGGCAAGCTGGTAGGGTGTGATAGAACGGGGAGGGTTGGAGCCTGTGGCCTGCTGAGGTGTGCACACCTGCCTAAGGGGGCAGTCATTACTCAGCAACAACTGCTTTTTGCCATATGGGAATATGGGCCCTGAGTTCCCAGATGATCTGATTTTTATTGAAGAGCCAGAAAATCCAATTATGTTAAACCTCTAGATTTTTTAATGTTGGCAATTAATTAAAAAAAAATTTAAGACTATTTGGGCCAACACTGTTGGACAAATTCAAATCCACATACAGGCAGGATTTGCTCCTTTGGCTGTTACTTTCCACCTCTGGGTTAGATAATATATCAGGTCCCTTTAAGAAATTCCTCACAGTTTCTGTTCAGACACAGATGGTGGCAATAGTGGAACATAAAAGAATCGAGGAAATCTCAATTTGGAAACCCAGGGTAGTTTTTCATGGCATTTGGCAAGCCTCATGCCTCTACCCACCTAGCATATCCTTTCAAAGCCTCAGTTTCCCTACCTGTAAAAAGAGGAGGTTTTCAAATAGGCACTGAAAAGTTGCTTGGGGGAATGGGAAGAATGTTCTTGTCTGGGTCTGCAAATTCAAAAAGCCTCACTAGTACCAGTTTTAAACAAAGAAGAAAAAGAAACAGAGTGAGGCAGAGTTTTAGTTGAGAAACCAGGCAAATTACAGCATGGAAAAAATTGTCTTTATTGCACTATGAAGAGGGGGTGGAAGGCAATTAGATGCAGGAGTACTTAATGGTTTCTACTGAAAATTCAATGTATGGCAGTCAGTACTCCATATATATCACCAAGGGTTTTGCAGTAATGAGATTCTCCATCATATACTGGAGGTCAGCTGCATGCGAGCATTATTTATTCTTTTGTGCTGAACTTATGTAATGAAAAGAGCCTGAGAACAGATAATTGCTCTCCATAGAGTCCATCTCTTTTATCCCCACCTGAGATATTGTTTAAAGCTGAGAAACGGCTTATGATTTTATAAATTATTGGGTTTTGTGTAGGAGAGTGAACATGGGGTTGAGAGCCAGGAGATATCACATGTAATCATCGAATAACCTCTCTGAACATTCTTCATCAGTAAAATGGGAGCTGGACAAAAGGTGGCTGGTTTCCTAGAAGCTACCTGCATTTATACCTCCACATTTCTTTGGGGAGGGATTTTCATTGTGCGGAGACATGGCAATTCTCAGGGCCAGGTCCTTCCATAATTCTCTACCTCGCAGTCCTCCAGAATCCTCGCGTCAGGGATGTCATCTAATTTCGGACAATTAGATGCTCACTCCTGGGACTTAGTCTCTCCAGAAAGTGACAGGGAAGGAGAGAGATTGGCCATGAGATTGATCAGACTGATGGTGGCCTCAGCAGCAGCATCCTGAAGAGGCTGGACCAGTGGTTGCTGCTTGGTCATGAATCTTGGCTGACCTCCAGAATTCCCTAGGTTTCTGCCAGTTTCTCAAGCCTGCTCCTTAATGCCATCCCTGTCCCCCATCCAACTTTATTTTGTGAATCTCACAGCACTGATAGATTCCCTTCTTGTGTTAGCAGCCCAAATTATTTCTCTTGCTTTTAACCAAGAATCCGGATGGATCCCGGATGGAAAAAAACATATTGCATTATAGGACACTTTCCCTGGGGAACAATTCAGAGTAGGAATTTGCATACATATGGATGCACACACGGTGACAGATATGCATGTTCTCTTACTACTCAGTAAGAAATACAACCCCATAAAGTGTTAGTGGTGGTGGTGGTGAAAAAATATATTTATTTCTGATAAGAAGAGCCCAAATATACTGTATATAATAGATCTTTAAAAAAAAAAAAAGTGAGCAAGCCTTTATGATAACAAAAACAACTGTAGAAATAATACCTTCTGTACGTAAATTTGGTAGTTTGCAAAGTCCTTTCACATGAATTCCCTCATTTCATACCCATTCCTGTGATATAGGCAAATTAGATAGTATTCATGGTTTATAGATTATATTGATAATAGCTGTCATATATTTAACATTTGCTTACCAGCACTGTGCTAAATGCTTTACATACACATGTACTAATCATGTTAAGAGATATTACCCCCATTTTATAGGCAAAGAAACTGAGGCTCGCACAAGTTCATAATACATAGTTGAATTGAGAGCTCAAACGGTTGTTAGTTCTGTCTGACAACAAAGGATATGCATGCTTTTAACACACACAGTTTGGTGTCATGTTACACAGCTAGTGAAGGACAGAGCTGACACTGGGATTCAAGTCCTGAATCGGGAAAGTTTTCACTCCATCCAGCTCTAGCTTGTTCATACTTGCCAACAAGGGCATAGTTGATCCTGTTGTCCATCCATAACAAGATTTTTAAGGTCATAGAAAGGATTTTTTCATAGTTCCCCCTCTCTACATATCATAGTGCCTAAAATTTGCACAAAGATGAATTGTTATGTTTGAAGATTGATCTAAGAGGTACAA